CAAAGGATTAAAGTCATTAAGGTCTTTCCTGGGCTGTGCTGGGATGTGCTCAGCAGCCCCTCTGGATGATGTGGCAGGGACCTCAGCCTGGATGGGAGAGTGGAGGGAGACCCTCTCTCTTCATCAGACTGCGAATTGCCACTGGGGTAAATAGAAGACTTTGCATTTATATAATTCTACATTAAATGAATCTACTTGGGAGCATATATAGCATACATAGCACTTAAACTAGCCACAGCAGTTTAAGAGTGGTGCTTTTCAGCTTTTTAACTTCATGTACATAAAGCCACCCAATTGACTGAAATGTAGAGAAGCCAGCTGCAGATTTGTGCTAACCCGCACACTTTTCCTGTGTGTTTTCTTGATGGCTCTACTCTTCCTAATTGCTAATTACGTCTCCCCAGATTTAGGCATGAATCCTGCACAGATCTGCCTGGCTTCTGCTTGCAGCCGTTTCTCCAGGTACATCTATGGCACTGCTGGGAAGGGTAAAAGGACTTGTACCTGTTCATCATGGTAGGGTCATGGCCTGTTTAAGCCCAGGGACATAGGAAGTGTTTTGAAGTAAAAATACTGCTTACCATGGCAAAAATGTTCTCAGGTTTAGGCTTCTCACTGGGGACACTGATGGTACACGTGAATTTTGTGCATCGCGGCAGACACATCTTGCTGAAATTTGCATCTCCCAGGTCAGGGAGGAGAGGAAATGCTTTGCTGCTGGTGGTATTCATAACTCATTTTGGACTGTAGCATGCTTCCATGTCACTCTTTGCTGCTGTTTTCATTTAAAATTTAAGAACAGCATTTCCCTGAAATAAGTTCAGAGTTACACTGGCTCTGAGGGTGCTCCCTGTCAGCTCTGTGATAATGGCACCTGGGGTGAGCAGGCACTCAACTTCATCTCAGGCTGTATTTCCAATGAAAACCATTGGCCTTTGGCCTTAGAAAATACACAGCTTGGAATATAGCTATTACCTTTACTGGAGCACCTTTAAATTATGCTCTGTGTGTTCGCTTTGTGCTGTTTTCTGGGCAGTGATGCTGAGCAGAGGATGGGAGAGGCTTCGGCCATGAAGCCCTTGCCAGAGGATCAGGTCGAAAGGAGGAGAGGAGCAAAACTCGAAAACATCACTGGTTCTGCTGAGTTCTTTGCTGTACTTAAATAGGTTAATCTGATTTCTTAATGTGACACTGAGGCTCTCAAAGACAGAGAGGAAACATTAATGTTGTGTCTCTATTGTAGGTGCTGTTGCAGTGTTACTTACTGCAGTGTGCAGGATCAGGAAAAAAACATTTCTTCCAAGTGGTGCACTTCAGAGCGTGGCCAAAATGAAATGGAAAAGTCAGTTGCTATGATTCCTACAAACAGCTGAGAGATTTTTATCTGGAGATCTCCTTAAAAACCTGTGTAGCATCCTCAAACAGCTCAAGATTTGCAGATCCCTGTAACCTTTATTGGCAGTAATCTTCTCTTTCTGTGAGCAGAAACTCCTCTGACTGGTGCTCTTGGGGAGCAGAGGCTCATTTATTTCATGTGCCACTCCGCTGATTTTCTGGCAGGCTGTTTGGTGGGGGAGAATAGCTTGGAGAAATGTGGTCGCCTTCATTGCGTTGGGCAGTGATTTGAGGATGTGGTAGAAGGGAGCCTGGGGGAGCAGGGCCAGACGGACTGTAAATAGCTTGGTTTTTTCTTTATATTCTATGCGGATGCATTGGAAAAGACCAACTCATGGCCCCATCTGCTTTTGTTTTGTTGCCTAACAAAGCGCTAGTGGACAAACCCAGCAGTGTTTTCCAACTTCTAAAATATCTGAAGCAGAAGGTTTCCCCTTATATTTGTAGAGGGGGCTTTATCTGACTTTATCAAGGATATATCGAGTCTCCAGTATGGGAAACTTTGCCATTTTATGTTTACACCCTCCCTCTCCCTTAAACATCCTCCTGAACGTCTGAAACCCAAAGTACTCTTAGATGGGAAAGCTAAGATTTTGCAGGAGTTGTAACTTTTTTTAAAAAGTAATACTTTTCTTCTTTACACAGTGGGAAGAAATCGGTGAGGTGGATGAGAACTACGCCCCGATACACACATACCAGGTATGCAAGGTAATGGAACAGAATCAGAACAACTGGCTTCTGACCAGCTGGATCTCTAATGAAGGGGCATCCCGCATCTTCATTGAGCTCAAATTCACCCTGAGGGACTGTAACAGCCTTCCAGGAGGACTTGGGACTTGCAAAGAGACTTTTAACATGTATTACTTTGAATCAGACGATGAAGACGGGAGGAACATCAAAGAAAACCAGTACATCAAGATCGATACCATCGCTGCCGATGAGAGCTTCACAGAGTTAGACCTCGGCGACAGAGTGATGAAGCTGAACACAGAGGTCAGAGATGTTGGGCCCCTAACGAAAAAGGGATTTTACCTCGCTTTCCAGGACGTGGGTGCTTGCATTGCCCTGGTTTCCGTCCGCGTGTACTACAAGAAATGCCCGTCGGTGATCCGCAACCTGGCCCGCTTTCCTGACACCATCACTGGAGCTGATTCCTCGCAGCTGCTGGAGGTGTCAGGTGTCTGCGTCAACCACTCTGTGACCGATGAGGCTCCAAAAATGCACTGCAGCGCTGAGGGGGAATGGCTGGTGCCCATCGGGAAGTGCTTGTGCAAGGCAGGGTACGAGGAGAAGAACAACACCTGCCAAGGTAAGGGTCTGCAGGGAGGGTGCTGCGTTATGGGATGATGCGCGGTCTTGGCCTTCTTCTCTTCCATGTCCTTCATGCCTGGTTGGGTTGATGCTGGTGGGTTCTCACTTCCATTGAGGTCCCTTGAGTGATTGTGACAACATGGAGAAGTCTTAGCTGGATGTAGAGGGACTTGACACCTACGTACGGGTCCCTCCGGTGCTTGCAGGGCTGTGGGCAGGGAGAATGTGGCTTGGCACTATTACCTTTGGAGCACTGTGCTGTTGGGCCCATGAGAAGGTTGCAATTCCATCTGCGATTTAAAGTTTTATGATATTTTTCCTCAATATTAAGGATTTCTTATTAATTTTAGAAGCTTGATTTCTCTGTTTCTGCACTGTTCTTGGGAATATCTGAAGTTTATCTCGCTCTGTGAGATGCGTTTTGGTTTTGTATTTAAAGGAGTATGTTTTTCTCTTTATTGCTCTATGGGGTGAGGGGCGTAACTTTTGGTATGGTGTGAGCTGATTTATTTTCCTTTCTGGTAAATAGTTTGATACAAAGCAGCTCAGCTGTTCAGAGTTAAATATAAAGCCCCCTTGATAAAAATGTTTCCATATGTGCTGAAGTTTTCGCACCAGCAGCTGACTGAGGTTCCTGAGTCAGCATAGGTCTCTTGGGTCATTGAGGGCTTTGAGCAAGAGATCTGGGGTATCTGAAGCTCAAGACCTAAAAAAAAACCCAACCCCAATTTTTAAAGAGCAACATAAAATGCAGTTATATACTCTTGGATTGTGGCTTGCTGTATTACATGCTCGTTCCTAAAATTTGCCCTCCTGTTGTACATACGTAACAGACAGCTTAAAACCTATTGGGGCATAAAAGAGAAAAAGGGAAAGAAAGTCTTCAATGCAGTTTGCTTTTTGCGAATTTATTATTTGTTGGTCATCTTAATTGCCTTGTACTTGCAGCCACCCAGTAATAGATAACCCATGGGGAAGGTAGAGGGATTGTGCTCTGACTGAAGTCTACGTGGCTTTTTCTCTTTGCCAGACACTCGTTGGTGTGTTTAGGGTTGGCAGAAAGGATAGGTGAATACTTATCCAAAGTAAACTGTAGCTTCAGTCCTTTAGTCCTCAGTCCCACACCGTGCCCCTGAAAATTATAGAGTTCAAGTCTGTGAAAAGGTTGACCTGAGAAAAGATCTAAAAACCAACAAAACCCCAAACCACCACCAAAAAGAAAAAAACCAACCAGAAAACTCTACTGGTTTAAACTGCAAACCTGAGACTACCTTTGAAGACCTAATACTGCCTCTAGAGCGGTTGGACCTCTGGTAGTACTGATGTAGTGGTTTGGGGAGTGCTTTCAAAAGACCTGAGTGACTTGGGATTCTGCTTTCCTATTTAGAGTGTGGGTTGGTTTTCTTAAATTTCTCTTGGTCAGTTGAGAGGACAACGTTTGCCCACTCAATTTGTGTTCCATAGCTTGGAAGGGTACAGCTGCTTTTTGGTGATACACCATTGCCCTTTTGTGATAAGTCTTACCCACATAAACTAGTCATATGCTTAACCTGTAGCCTGCACCCTTGTCAGGAGTTGATGGCTGGATGCTCTGGAGCCGCTAAAGGCCATAATTCTCACTTGTAGGAAAACCATGAATTCCACTGCAAAAATCAATGGGATGTTGGGATCCCAGCGCCTGTGGCAAAGTCTATTTGAGGGCCTGGTTTGGGTGTCCTCTGTTTAACCCAGGTCAGGGTGCCAAGAAGCTCGGTCGATAGGAGGCTTCCAGCCTCAGGCTGTTCAGGAGGTCTATGTTCAGTGTGTGTGCAGTTCATGCTGATATCCTGTGAGTAAAACACTTTCTGGTTTAGATATTGTTATACTCAAAACACTCACAAGGATGAGCTGTTTTCTAGAATGGTAAACTAAACTTTGCAGCCTATAAGCAGAATAAGTTACACCAAGGAAGGTGCTATGTGCTTGTAGATTCTTTTTTTACTTTTTTCTTTTGTATTTTTAAATATCCCATTTTTTCTCCACAGCCTGACTGGTGTTTAGGAAGTGCTCTCCATGCTCCTGGCTGACACTGTAATGGTCTTGGCACTCTGTGGTGTGCAGCTTTGACAAACACCGACATAACTTCTGACCTTTGGGTTGTAAATCACTTAGGCACATCTTGCAGGCGGTCTCCCTTTCTCCTTTCACTTCCCAATAAGCAGGTTATTACCATGCTTTGGGAAGCATATTCTACTCAGAAGAGCCTGCCTTTGTTTATTAAAATTTCTCCTGCAAAATGACATTTTCCAAGCTCTAGTGTCGTGTCTGGACAAAGCCGACTCCAGGCTCTTATTAGAGACGATGTAAATCCCAGTCACCCTCACAAACATATGGGAACTATTGAAATCCCTTCTGCCTACAAATCATTAATTGGCGACGATGTTCTGAATTCATCATCTTGTCAGCAGGGTTCCTGTTTGAAGAAGGCACTGACAGTAACAGCTGAGCAGTTTCGCTGGGGACACTGAGGTTGTAAATATGGCGTGGTCTGATCTCCTTACATAATGTGCTTGCTCTCTCAATTAATACAGGCAGCGAGGTGGTATTTACTGTGAAGAACCCAAACTCCTTGAATTTTTACACCTCCTTTGGCAGTATGGCCTATTTATCAGCAACTGCTATGGGACAGCGAGAGGTAAATTGTGACTGTTCTGGGATGCGTTTATGCAGGGCTGGTGTTAAGATTCACTATTCACAGGAGTAAATTGCTGTACTAGTTAGTAAGACAAATTAAAGCCGTTGCTCTGAATTTCTGTGCTGGCTTCCTGAATGGTGATTTGGTGCTACTGAAGGACCGAAGAATTATTTGGTTTATCTCAGTTCAGCTGCTGCTGTCTGAACGGGTCCTTGAGGACATATTCCTGAGCACTTTCAGGAGCTGGAAAATGCCCACTTCAAGTCTGTTTGGCCCATTTCAAGTCTCTGTGGTGGTGACCTCCTCCTTAGAAGGCAGCACACAACCTAAGTTGATGGCCAGATCTCAAAATGCTGTAAAACTTGATGTAGGATCACTTCACCCATTTGGGTTTTTGGCCAAACATTTGCTAGCCTACCCTTTCCTTCTTCCTGCACTGGCACAAGTGAGTTTTATTTTAATGTCAGTTTTAGTTGCTTATACTTTATACAGCAGGGCTCATCATCTGGGGTTTCTGCAGGAGAAGAATGAAGTCACTGTGAAAAGGGCACCTTCTGGCACTTCTCTTTGTATTCATCCACACCTTCAGCCAAATATGTTCCCAGTGAGAAGCAATATGTGCTTAGTTTATCCCTTTAAAGGCTCTAGGAGCCCGTGCTACCAGCAGGGAGGAGATGTTGACGCATTAAGCTGATGAGACCCAAATTCACTTGCAGTGGTGAGGTCCTGATAGCGACTGTGGGGCTGCAGAGCGGTAACTGCGGATGCGATTGATTTGCAGAGCCTGAGAGTTTTTCAGCCGCTCTTCAGAGCTGAATCAGAAATTAATTAAATATTTGAGTAGAAAAGATGCATTGAATGAGCCAAGCTGAAAATGCAAGTAATGAGTTCAGGAGGTCGCAAGGTTTACCTTACCAAGGGCTGCTGCATGCTGCTGCTTGAAGAGCCATCAAAAGGAGTACAGCAGGTTTTCGCCAGCTACAAGGTATGGACAAAATAATAGAGGAGAACTCAGTGAAATCTTTTCTCACCTCTGCCTTCTTCTGAGGGAAGAACTTTGAAACCGGGGGTGGGTTTGAGCATGATTTTGTCTTTTTAGAAAGGAATTGCTGCCGGAGGAAATGCTTAGATTTTGGGTTTTGTACAACCGCTCTAGAGGGTTCAAGCCCTTTTGCTCTCTTAAACATTGATGTTTGTTGTTTGATTTTTCTTCCCTTGATCAACTTTGCTGAGCAAACCTCTCTGCATTTACAAAACAATATTTATTTTTGCTGATTGTTCAGCACTTGTGTTGCAGTTCAGCTGAGCTTTTGCCAAGAGGAATGAGAATTTCTTACGGAAAACAAAGCCTGCAGAAAAACCCTGTGTTTGCACGTCTTTTATTCTGGATATAATTAAAACTAATTGACATAGGTCGCTTGCTTATGTAGATGAGGAGTTTATCTGCCTAATCAGTTCTCGGGTGGTTTTGCTGTCTGATTGGAGGTGAAGCCGTTCCTCGTCTTCATCCGAGAGCGGCGCAATCAGCACGGATGCTTGAAGGAGCTTTCCTGGGGCAGTGATTGCGCTGCTGCTCATCAACTCCTGGAAGGAAATTTGGGAGCAATTGGGATTTTTTTTTGCAGTGGTGCAGGAGCAGGCAGAGGTGGGTGCCAGAAGAGGCACTGTGTGGGGAGGGTTGGGAGGCAACCGAGGGCTTGTGAAGGCGGTGATGGCAGAGCCATGCTCTACTGCAGTGTTTGTGTCTGCGCAGCAGCTGTCCCAGAGGCCTCACTTGTGAATGAAGCACATAGCTGGTACCACAGTAAAAGAAATATGTTTTAAACAAGCAAATTCAGTATATGTGGCTTCCCCAGTTGCCTCCCCTGCCCCCCTTATTTCTAGGCAATGGAAATGTGCTGCTGCACAGGGAACCTTGTGCTGGAAGTTGGGCTTTTTCCACGCAGCCGGTGTTTGTGGTTTTTGCATCTTCTTGCAACTTTTCTTCAACCCCTGCCACAACTCACCCTTGTGTGTCTCTGCCTTGGGTTGGATGAATTCCTGCTCTAAATTCCTGGTTACAGATGCCAGAAAGACAGCGCATCGCTAAATCCTGCCTATCTTTTGGTAGGCTTCCCAGCTGGGAGGCGGGTGAATAAGGCAAGTCTGCTTTTACCCTTGTGGTACAGAGGTGAGCAAGCAAAGTCCAGGGATAAAAAAAAACCCCAAACCCTCTTTTTAATTGTTCTACTGGGAGGTGATTACATGGCAAGAAAAACATTGATGGAAATATTCAGTATATGGAGAATACTGAATTTGGAAATACTGTTGCCCCTCCAGGGAGT